GTAAGGTGTGTATATACTCACTTATATGTGACTACAGAGATCCAGTCTCAACTCCTGGTTCCCCGTCTCTTCGCTAGCCTCTGCCACTCCATGTTAAAATTCCTGACTATGACTGCAGAGAAATACTTCCTAACATCCCTGTGACTGATTTGTATTTTCAACCTCTATCTGTGCCCTTATGTTCCTGTTTCCTGTTCCTCTGTTACTCTCCCTGTACACTTCTCAATTCTTCTCAGTTTTGTGCGATGTTATCATATAATATCTCTAGTCCTGTTTCATTCTAATTTCATCAGGTTTACCTCCTATTCACCTTTCCTCATAGGACATAAACTTCAGCCTTGGGACTATTTTCGCTGCAAACCTCTGCAACTCCTCTAGTTTCTTGGCATGCTTAATAAGGTGTGAATTTTCACACTGATACTGCATACTCAAATATGGACATGACGTAACCTTGCTTAGGTTTCTGAAGACTGTGTGTGTGCACACAAGCAATCACCTATGTGAACTAACCAATATGTGGTTGCAGGGGTCGAATATAATAGTGCTTCGTGAGCCTTATGATACCTATGAATAAAAAGCAATATGTGGATCGAACCTCTACCCCTTTACTGTTCAGACCGTTCCACTTCTGGACCGAAGAAATCTTTCCTAACATTTGTGACTCATCTGTGTGTCTGCCTTCGAACTGTGCCCTTCTCTTGAACAGTTTGTACCTGTCTACTTTATCAGTTACTGTCCTTATTTTGTACATTATCATCATCATGTTACTCCTCGTTATTCTGTTCTCAATTGCATCAGTCTAGCACTTATATTCTCTCTTCACAGATCATACCTGTAGGTTTGGGATTAAGTTTCCTGGAGAGTTGAATCAGGTGCTGCATTCTCCAAGACTAGCCTAACATATATATAGTGATGTAGGCTCTGATGAACTGCGATATAGTGATGTAAATAGTGCCATGATGGATGCCTCGATGACATTCCTTGGGAGGGTTTGCTGCGGATGTCATTTGTTTTATATACGCCACAGCTGATGTGCTCGCTATGTAGCTTCACTTCACGGAAGTGTTCAGCCTCTGTGCCACGAGCCTGTACTCCATTTGCAATCATCTTTCGCCATCTCCAGTTTTCATAACTTTACATTTGCTGGTTAAATTCTACCAGACACATGTCAGACCAGACCTGCAGCCCATGCTCATTTATTCTCTTTCCTTGACCTCAGTTGTTTGTATTGTCTTCACTAAATTAACAACATCTGCAAACAAGGATATTTCTTCTTACAGGGTTTTCACGTACACAAGAAACAGTTCCAGTTCCAGTACTGACTCTGATTTCCTTCCAGTAACTATTCCTTGTTTCCGAAATGCACAGCTATGTTAGTGGCTTTCTTTTGTGCCTAACAATCTAACATATTTTATTACATGTAAGCTTCATTTTGTAAATTGAACAAAGACATAAAATTTGCTTTGTTTTTTTGTTCGTTAGGGCCTTTATTGTTATTTCCTGCCATCTTCTCTAGTTTTACTCTCAGTTTCCTGTGCAGTACTGTGTCGAAAATTTTTTTTACAGTTCAAAGTCCAAAAATATGCAATGCTCCTATCCATTTCCTGCTTCTTCCCTATTACCGCAGAGCTCTAGTAGGTTATAGCATCTCTGAAACCATGGTTTTTGATGTTTATAAATTCACTCCTTTCCACTGCTCCCCTGCTTCAGAGATACTGGTTCGTAACTTCATATTAGCTATTCCCTTTCCTGAAGACTGAGACTACATTTGCTCCCTTCCACATCTCTGGCAGTTATCCTATAATAACTGGCTTGTTGAAGACATGGGTAATATCACAATGAATGCTTCTGTCTCCTCTCAGGACCCATGGAAAGATATTATCTTATCCCATTGCCTACAAGATGCATAGCTCTCACAGCAGTTTTGTAGTTTTCTCCCCACCTTTTTTTCATGAGTATTGTGTCCAGCACTCGATGGTTCACTATTCCTTACTGACTCTCACGTAACGTCCCTATTTCTTCTGACCTTTCATCGTTAATTTTTTTGCTCAGTTTCTTACAGACTTTCTGGTCAATGCTTTTGAGATTTAATTCTTCCTTGAGCCTGATTTTCTGGTTCTTTACTATTGTCTTATTTCTGAGGTGGCCATATGGGAATTTAAATTAAAATTTAACTTTTGTTGCTATGCCATTCTCAAAAAATCCTTAACCCTCTGTTCTTACCCATGCATATTCATTTCCTGCTCTTCTTCTCTTGATCTTTTATCTCTTGCCACTGTGTATTACTGGGTGAACCATTGTGCTACCCTGTTCTTGCTTCTTCGATCCTACAGCCCGTCCTCTTAACTACAGACTTCATAACACTAGTATGAAAAACAGTCAGATGGGCGGCTGCTGAAGGAGTCTTGAACAGTTGAATTTCTAGCTCTCTTCCCCCTGCACATCGTATTCAAAATTCATTAAATGTGATCACTAGCACGGAGGGGGGATGTCGTATTAAATGTACCCAGTTTCAGAAACGATCAAGGTGAGCACATGGTCCAGCCTTGCTGGTTCATCTACTTCTGTAACCCTGCGTCTGCATCCCAGTTAGTGTTTGAAATTCTCCACTGACACCTCCAGCATCTTAACCCTCCATATTTCTAGTTCCCCGTGTGGCTCCAGGTTCTTCCATGATCAGGAGCAATGCATTGCTCATGTGGACTCTTCTGACCACCTCAGCCGCCATGACCACTATTGCTCTGCTGCTCTTGTCGTACTTCTATTTGGCCTGCCTCTGTTTTGTCGAGGGATAATCCTCTTTGCCATCACCATCTTGGGTTCCCAGATGGTGAGTGTTGTTACATGCCTTCTTACTGTTTATTCATATCATCTCTTCAGAACTTCATTAGTTTCTGATTAGCACTGTTACACCGCCACCTTCTGCTTTTACTCATAATCTAACATTCAGCTCAGAAGAATGCATCTGTTATCTCTGAATGCCTCTATGAGCGTTTTGATTTCTGGGAATGCCTCGACTACTCTCTCATTCCATTCATCACTCTTTTGTTATTCCAGCTACATTTGTGTACCGTACTTTCAGGTTCATTTCTGTTTGGGTTCTAAGTTAGTGGGTGGGAAGGGGTGGCAGGAGTTTGGGGTTGGGGAATTGCGGGTAAGTGTGAGGGATGACTGAGTGGGATTTTATTGTGCTCAAAGAAGTCAGGATCATGTACTGCATGTAGGTGAGGGAGGATAAGGAGTATAGGGAAGTAATGGATTTGGATTGGAGTGAGGGGTGGTTGGGTGAGAGGTTCCTGCACTGGAAGGGGTGAGAACTCGAGGTGTAGGTGTTGAAAAGTGTTTGTTTTGGATTATTGTGTTTGAGTTGGAAGGAGGCCAGGGCTCGAGGAAGTTATACACCGGGCTTCACATGGTGTTCCCCACGAGTCTGAGGTTCTGCACCTAGCAATATATTCCTAGATTTGCCTCCCTCTCTAACAGTGTTTTATTCTCTAAGTCTCCTACTCGTTTTCTGTTCTATCCCGATCGAGGTACACACATCTATATCTCTCTGACTGCCCTCGGTTGTGGTTTCCTATTGACAATTTTCCTCCTCTCATTTCTGTTGAAAGTGTAAGTTTAACTGGGTGTGACGCATGTGCAGCAGTTAGATAACTTTATTCCGAAGTGCTTCGCCTACACAGTAGGCTTCTTCAGTCGAGTGCAGAGGAGGCAGCAGAAGTAGTAGAGATGTAATGTATACCATTGCATACCATTATCATATTAACTGGGTCTATTTTCTCTATTCAGGTACCTTTCTAGTGTTTAAAAAATTTTACCTGGTTCATCTCAGCCTCCTCACTTGTCTCTTCAATGGACTCTTGACTCTTCCTCTGTCAAACATATGGCCATGGATAACCAGAGACCTCCCACTCTCTCTCCTCCCACTTCTCTTCCGACCAGACTTCCGTCTCTATAATGAGAACTTCCTTCGCTGCTCCCCTTGTCATTTCCTGTCCCTTCCATTTACTTCAGAATATTTTGGAGTGGTCTCCTTTACTCTCTCTTTCCTCTTTTTTGTTACAACACCTGCTGCTTTTATTTCTGCCTCTGCCTCTTCCCTCCTTTCTTTCATGTTATCTAGCTCCTTCCTCACCTCCCTTCAATCCTCATCCAGAATTTTAATTTTGACTCGCTATAGAGCTCTTCTCTCCTGTTCTATGATTTCTACAGACAGCTTCGGTACCCTTTCATCCAGCAATAACCCTTCGTTCCAGCCTTTCATGAACGTATCTAGATTCAGTTAGCATTAGCTTTCTGTTTCTCGCCACGATCACTTTATTGCTCCTCATTTACCACTTTTTTGTTAAAGGGCTGTTGGTATCTCATTTTATTACTCACCGGCTTTTACATACGCGGTTTCAATGACATCCTCTGATTCCAGGTTGTACTGGTCAGTCTATCCTATGAGGCAAGTCATTTCCATAAGATGAATAGACGGAAAAATGCCTTGAGTAGAGAATGAGGATTTGTGTGTGTACTCACCTAGTTGTTGTTGCAGGGATCGATTCACAGCTCCTGGCCCTGCATCTTCACTGATCGCTACAAGGTCACTCTTCCTGCTCCATGAGGTTTATCATACCTCTTCTTAAAGCTATATATGGATCCTGCCTCCACTACGCCACTTTCCAGATAATTCCACTTTCTCACAACTCTGTGATTGAAGAAATACTTCCTAACATCCCTGTCATTCATCTGAGTCTTTAACTTCCAACTGTCACCCCTTGCTGCGGTGTTTCACCTCTGGAACATCTTGTCTCTGTCTTTGTCAATTCCTCTCGGTATTTTGTATGTCGTTATCATATCCCTCCTATCTCTCTTGTCCTCCAGTGCCGTCAGGTCGATTTCCACTAACCTCTCCTCGTAGAACATAACCCTTAGCTCCGAGACCAGTCTAGCTGCAAACCTCTGCACTTTCTCTAGTTTCCTTACGTGCTTGGCTAGGTGTGGGTTCCAAACTTGTGCTGCATACTACAATATGGGCCTAACGTACACAGTGTACAGGGTCCTGAACGATTCCTTATTAAGATGTCGGAATCCTGTTCTTTGGTTTGTTAGGCGCCAGTATGCAGCAGCAGTTAATGTGGTTGATGTGTGCCTCAGATGTGTTCGGTTTTATACTCACCCCGAGATCCTTTTCCGTGAGTGACGTTTGTAGCCTCTGGCCCCATAGACTGTATTCTGTCTGGGGTCTTCTTTGCCCTTCCCCAATATTCATGACTTTGCACTTGGTGGGTTGAACTACAGGAGCCAGTTACTGGATCAAGCCTGCAGCCTGTCCAGATCCCTTTGTATTCCTCCTCCGAGTGAACTCTCCTCATTAACTTCACATCATCTGCAAAAAGGGACATTTCTGAGTCTCCTTCCGTCATGTCATTCACATATACTAAAAACAGCACCGGTCCTACGAATGACACCTGTGGCACCCAGCTCGTCATATGTGCCCACTCTGACACCTCGTCCCGTACCATGACTCGCTGCTGCCTTCCCGTCAGGTATTCTCTGATTCATTGCAGTGTCTCTTCCCTGTTACACCTGCCTGGTCCTCCAGCTCTAATCTCTTATGTGGAACTGTGTCAAAAGCCTTCTTACAGTCCAAGAAAACGCACTCTACCCACCCAACTCTCTCTCTCTCTCTTGTCTTACTGCTGTCACCTTGTCATAGAACTCCAGTAGAATTGTGACACAGGATTTCCCGTCCCTGAATCCGTGCTGGCTGTCGTTGATAAGCTCATTGCTTTCTAGGTGCTCCACCACGCTTCGCCTCAGGCAGTCGCCCTGTTTCGATAAATGTGTTGAAATGTTATCCGGCCCCATCGCCTTTGAGGTATCTAGCTCGCTTAGCGGCCTCTTCACCTCCTCGATTTTGTGTATTGTATCCACCACTTTGTGTTTGTGTGTGTGGTGTGTGTGTGTGTGTGTGTGTGTGTGTGTGTGTGTGTGTGTGCGTGTACTCACCTGTTTGTACTCAGTTGTGGTCGCAGGGATCGAGTCATAACTCCTGGCCCCGCCTCTTCACTGTGTGTGTGTGTATGCACTACGTCGTTGAGAATATCTGGGACTGTGCCTGTCTCTATGTATTTGGGAAAGACTTGTGTAAAATCAGACTGAGAGTCTGTGGATCATGAGAATGTTGCAGGTTGAACATTGCAAAGTTAGTGAGCCTGTGGTCACAAGAATAAAGCCTACATTACTATTATCATGGGCGTCCCTAGATTATTATTATTCATGGGGCGTCCCTAGATTATTATTCATGGGGCGTCCCTAGATTATTATTATTCATGGGGCGTCCTATATTATTATTATTCACGAGGCGGCCCTAAATTATTATTATTATTATTATTCATGAGGCGGCCCACAACCCAGTGCATTGGTAGTGGAAGGTAGTAAAGTTTCATCAGAAGTAGGTCAGAAAATCTCTAAATCCTTGGATTAAGAGTCCATCACAATCTTTGGGGCACACCTTTCAAGTTTACAACTTAGATCTCATTTCATATATTAAGATGTAAACTGTTCTTCCGAGAACTTTTATCTTATTTATGGAATTCAGTTCCATAAATGTCACATCGTGAGAAATGGAACTGAGTTCTCTCTTTATCTCTCTCTCTCTCTTTATCTCTCTCTCTTTATCTCTCTCTCTCTCTTTCTCTTCTCTCTCTTTCTCTATCTCTCTCTCTCTCTCTCTCTCTCTCTCTCTCTCTCTCTCTTTTTCTTCTCTCTCTACTCTCTCTCTCTTATTAGTATATATATTATATATTTTATATATTATATATATATATATATTATATATATATATATATATATATACTATAATTTCTATATAACAATATTAATTTATAATATCAATAGCAAATTATTTAACTGTAAACTCAATTGTAAAATCAATGAATTAAAGACGATACTGTCAATACTGGCAGTGATAAAACTTGTTAATAAGGACTAATGCAGTTAATAGTCACACTAATAACCATAATAACATCAATACTGTAAGTTGTGATCAAGATAATAACAATAATGAAAGAATAAATAATAACAACAGTCAGAATTACAGTAATGTCAGTAGCGAGACTTAATCACATTGAAACTGATACTGACAATAATACTCAAAATAATGTCAATACTGAGAGTACTAAGTACAGCATTTACCGTAATAAAACCTCACTAAAGAGAGAGAGAGAGAGAGAGAGAGAGAGAGAGGGGGGGGGGGGGGGAGAGATTTGCATAACTAAAATAACTCTTAATTTAAAGAACTGTGATGCGTCATCTTTCATCCTGTAGAAAATATTAAATGAAAATAAATATCTTACTTAAGAATATCGTCAAAGCAGAAAAGTGTAGAAAGTGTATGATTTAACATAAACTATTACTCGTGCGGCAGTAGGCTTAGAGTGTAATGTGCAAGATTATGTGTAATCATTTTGCTGTGATCTGGGGGATGGGAGATACAGGGTGTATACGTGGTGATACAGTGCAGAGTAGTGTTTAGTGGTTAACGGTGATTCTTGATGGAAACACTGCCTGTATCATCACAATGAAGATTTACATTACGACAAGATGAGCAACTAGACACAGGTGCATCACCTAATTCATTCATATATATATATATATATATATATATATATATATATATATATATATATATATATATATATATATATTTGTTTTACTTTCTGTTGTATTTTTGTGAATGTTTGGCCAATGTATTTTGTCTTTAAATAAAACATACTTGAAATATAGGGGGTGGTAGGAGAAAATTCTCAAACAGCTTCAGGGAGAACCTTGAGTTTTCCCTGAAGCAAGTTTATTTTTTCTTGAGGATGAGGGTCCCTACGACAGTTCTAGAGATGGTACCTCCCTATATATATATGTGTGTGTGTGTGTGATAGGAATAAAATCACAGGAATCAGGTGATATCACGATATCATCTTTGTCTGACTATAAGCATGACGTAGGTGATATCAGGTGAGAGGGAAAGTAAGAGAAAGAAGGGAAGGAATGATAGGTAATAATGTACGATGGGATAACCGATAATTGATAGAAAGATATTAAAATAATAGTGAGGGAGAGTAGAATATGAGCAACATGGGAGAGAGGATGAGTCGTTATGAGCAAATTTTGGTGCGAATAGGAGGAAATTTTGGATATAAAGGAGGGATCAATTGAATTTGTCAGTTACGAGTGAAAATAGTGAGATGTTGGAATGGAATGTAGTGGTACTGGAGAGACTGAGAGAATATTTTGAAAACTTGCTAAACTTATATGCTGCAAGAAAGGCAGATGTTTCGTATATGGGGCTGGGAAGAATTGGATATGTCAGTCGGAAGAAAGTCCTTCATAGGGAGCTACTGGAGAAATCATTTTTTTTTTTTTGTCCAATTACAATGAATTTTTTCCAGTGATTTAAGCAGAATTTGAAGCCTACACACTGTGTTTGTAGTGACTTTTTTGCCTTAAAAGATAGAAAAAAATAAATAGTGCCTTATTCAATGGGGCTTAAAACTCTCCCTTTTGTATAAAATTGGGAAGATGTATAATGCTCTAGTTGACATCAGATAAAAGATAAGGGATAGATAATCTTGGTAATAACCCGATTTGAGCAAAAATATCAATAGATTGCATAATAAAAAATGTTGAAGTTTATTTTATTTTTAAGGATTTTTGGGGGAAGGAAAAAAATCAATAAAAAGAAAGACATAAAAAATATTTCCTTTACATGCTAGTAGAACCATCACTCAATAATGTGTTCAAAAATCATTGCACTCCTATAAATACTTTTCGCAAAAAAATGGAAAATAATGTCAATAACTTACACCTCAGATATACATATACTACGTTTTCTGTAAAAGTCTACGGTCATGGCGCGCCACATTTCAGTATGTTGCACCTTCAACACATGTTGACAGTCCACAAACAACTCAGCTGTTATCACTCCCTGCATTTGAATGGAGTCCTCAGAGAAGTTGCAGTGTAGTGTATTTACAATGAAACAATCATAAAAATCGTAATTTTTAGAGCAAAAAAAAAAAAAAAAAAGAAAAAAAACATGAATTGGCATCTGTCTTTTTGATGACAGCAAGGACAAAAAAAATTACATTTTTTGGAAAAACATTCTTAGAAATATGACACAAGCTGATTACATCAATATGTTGCCAGAATTATGCACTATTTTTTGGTAGGAACACATTTTTTTCCATAATTTTTAAATTTTTCTTCATCTAATTTTTCTGTCACTCCTAGAACGCTAGCACCTCCCTGAATTCAGTTTTACGACTCATTCGCCACTGGTTCAAATCATTCTCGTTCCGTGGTTTGTACATTATTGTATAAAAATGTGTAAAGAGGACATAGGTGAAGCTGAAAGGACTGGGAGTACAATCAGGCAGGAATACTATTTTTTGCATCATTGGAATATTTGTTGAGAGCATTTGTGAATGAATATAAATATATACCTATGGACTTTCAGAAGGTACGTAAAGTTCATGTGTATTAAGGAAATAGGAAAAGAATGTAAATATTTTTGAGGAATATATCTATTATTTACACCGGGTAAAGTGTACTGAAGAAATTTTCTTGAACGAGTTAAAGTAAAAAGAACATTTAAGATGGACAAGTTGACTTTAAAAGGGAAAGCGACATGAAAGCCGAGGGCTTTCCCTAAAAAATATTTTTTTAGTTGCGGATAATGGTTCAGAAAAAGACAAGTTAATGAAAAAGACCTTGTGAAAACCAATAAAAACCCCTAAGTGTTAAAAAAGTGTTTTTTTACTATATTATGAGTAAAAAATGCACTTGAGATTTGAAATGGTTTTATTACTTTGTATTTTGCTGGTGTTGAAATTACTGGAAAATATGTAAATTAAAAAAACATTTTAAATGGTTTGGGAGAGTGAGGCTCAGGAAAAATATAAAAGGCGGGAAATGTGTTTTATCAGTAGAACAAAACTTAGAGAACATGTGGATTTCATTACGTAAATGAAGTAAATCCCAGAGAACTAGATTTTCTAGATTTTAAAAGAAAATGAATTGTTAGGAGTGAAAACTGTCCGTTTTCTGAAAGGGCGATTTTTATGAAATGTATAAAAAAGTTTGGAAAAGGAATTGGAAGATACGAAAAGGGAAAGGCGTTTAAAAAATGGGGGAAAAACCGGTTTGGGGTGAAGGAAGTACAATGATGGTACACTTGAGAATGGTTGGCGATTTTACAGTTTCACCATTTCTTGAACGACAAGTTTTGGGAGTTCAGGCAAAAGTTTTTTTCCTTTACGGTCTTCATTTTTTGGGGGGTGGTCGGGTAGGACGGCACCCGGGACGGGCCCAAAACAGCTTTCTCAAAATTAGACAAATAAAATATGAGAACAATATTTCTGCCCATTAATTACAACTAACCCGGTGTTGTGCTGTCACCGGGGCATGGCGTTGGCTGCGTACGTCTGAGCGTAACCAGCCCTGTTTTTACTTCAAAATTGAAACACCTCCATCTTTAAAAACATTTACTTTACAAATTTTATATTTATTTTACCATTCCCTGTACAAGACGCCCTTTAAAAAAGATTCCAAATAAGAAAATACTAGGAAATATGTTTTGTATATTTCAATGTAAAAAATACGCAACCTGATTTCAAGCCACCTGTATACAGGGATGCAGCACTTGATTAGCTCCCACAAGGTTAAAATGAATTTATATATATTACACTTTTTTTTTGGCATCGTTGCTTTTTGACAATTTGAGAGGGCCAAAATGTTTTTGTTTTTTACGGTCATGGGTTATGCTCTGTTTTTCTCATAGCGTAATTATCAATTTCACTTAATATATTCTTGATTTTTTACGATTTAAGAGGTAAAAAACTGAAATCAACCAGTCGCTTTATTCTAAAATTCGTTAAATCAGTATTATTATCATGAGGTCCAGCAGCAGCGTGTCCAAACATGACTGGCAACGAAAGGAAGAGCTGTATAAAAATTTTTATATTAAAATTTTTTTCTGGCGCATGTTCTACGTTCCTTCTCCCCTTCATGCTATGAAAGGAACTTTCCCGTCGTTTTACGTCTTGACTCAATTTAGAGTTTTTAAGCACTGCTTAATAGAGAAGGCTCTTAAACTGTGACGCCGTTTTTTTACAAACAAAAAACTTCACAAAATCATTCACTGCATCGAATTTTGGGGGAAACCCAAATACTACTGAAATTTAGCATTTGAAATATATATTATATATATATATATAATATATTATATATTTTATATTATTAAAATATATACACCTTTATGTCGCGCCGAATCGGTTTTAAAAATTTCAAATTTTTGGGAAAAATAGCAACGCTCTTTTGCCGAGGAGGCAAACGAAAATACGTTTTGCAATAATTTTGCAAAATATTCTGAATGTAAGAGAAAAAAAATATTCATTGTGTTTGTTTATTTCAAATATTCAAAAAAATTAAAATATTTTTTGTTTGGGTTGGCTAAATTATAAGTTATAAGTTTTCTAAGGTTTTTGGTACAAAATTTTTTAAGTTTTACATTTATATCAATGAAAAAATATCTTTAAGTTTTTAAAGAGAAAATTTTAGAAAGGATTAATTTTTTTGGTTCTTGCTAAAGACCAGTTTTATCTATTCGGCCCGACATTTTTTTTTTAAAAATTTTAAAAATTATATTATATATATATATAATATATATATATTATATATATTATATATATTATATTGAGTAGAACTTGCGAGAATTTGTGGAAAAATAATTTTTCCAAGGCCTCAAATCTGGGGGTCGACTTACAAAAAGCGGCTGTAAAATTACACGAAAAGAAGACTTTGGTGTTTTTTCCCGTGGCTATGGAGTTACACAGGAAATACCCTTTTATTCTTTGTGTTGGTTCACTTTTGGGTCTTGCAGGACTTTACTCTTTAGCTGGTCGACTCTCTTTTTATAATAGGGGTTTTTTTTTTGGAATCTATTGGGGTTTTTTTTTTTAATGAAAAAGGGGTTTTTTGTTTGTTTTTAAATTTAAAATTTTCTTTTTTTTTTTAGTTTATAGTATAAAACAGATTTTTTTTCCCCAATTAAAAATTTGCTTAATTTTCAGGGACAATTTTAATAATTTAAAAAATTCTGTTTTTATTTTTCCAAAAATAAATCCCGAGCCCAAAAAAAATTTCCGTTCTTTGATTATCGTATTTTCTTTGTAATATAAAAAATTTTGTCGCAATATGGAATATTTAAAACCCCGAGTGCGGAGGGACAACTTTACACCGGACGAGTTTTAGAGGATTCCATAAGCAACCCCATCGGATGAGGCTTGAGTGTGACTTGTGGCGTGACTTAAAAATGGTGGGGGGGGGGTAAGTAGGATGTTTACGAAAAGGGAGTCGCGAAAAAGGATGTATCCACGCCACCAGTACCACCAGTGTCCAGCAACAGTCCCACCCAGCACTTGTGTTGGTCTGCATGGCGGCTTGATATTCACCTAGTGGGAAAGAAATCAGAGTTAGTATGACGATATGGTTAAGTACTAACCCGTAGGGTCATTCACCTCACGGGGAATGGGAGACAATCAGATCTAACAAAAGAAAGGATAGAATAGCTCTTATTTCTTTGATCAAGAGTCGTTTATTTCTTAAAATGAGAGAGACTATTTCCAGCTGTTTCAAAAGCCTCAAACACACACAAAAGGGAAACAGGAGTAAAAAGTAGTAACAGTGGAAAAACAAGATGTTCCTAAATAATATTTGAGTTTTATTATAGTTTTGGTGAAGCATTAAACCTCAGGGCGTCAAACAACGCCTTTGCAAATGAAAGTTAATCAAGTTTGAGACAAGGATGAGGTAGTTCAAGGAATATAAAACGTTTTTCTTCACAGTGGCAAAACATTGGGGAAGACTAAAGAGGTAACGGTAAACGCTACAACCACTGGAAATGATAAAAAAAGTGATATATGAAATAGTGATGGCGGGATGACCCAAACTTAGCTCTGTTTCAGTAGCTATTAGAATGTAGCTATATGCAAGCAAACACTGGTGAATATACACGTACACACACACACACACACACACACGCACACACACACACACACACACACACACACACATACACAAACCTCACTGAAGATCCATGGGGTGAGTACAATACCGGGTACATATCCTGAGTCGCACATCAACCAGATAACTGCTGCAGTATATGGGTGCCTGGGAAACCTGAGAATAGCGTTCCGGTACCTCAGTAAGGAATTGTTCAAGATTCTTCACACTGTGTACATCAGGCCCATACTGGAGTATGCAGCATCAGTTTGGAACCCACACCTGGTCAAGCACGTCAAGAAATTAAAGAAAGTGCAAAGATTTGCAACAAGACTAGTCCCAGAGCTAAGGGGAATGTCCTACGAAGAAAGGTTAAGGAAAATCGGCCTGACGACACTGGAGGACAGGAGGGTTTGGGTAGACATGATGGGACACAGAAACAATGGCTCAATTGGAAATTGAAGACTCGGATGAATAAAAGGGATGTTAGGAAGTATTTCTTAAGTCATAAAGTTGGCAGGAAGTGGAACAGTCTGGCAAGTGACGTATTGGAGGCAGGATCCATACATAGCTTTAAGATGAGGTTTGATAAAGCTCATAGAGCATGGAGAGAGAGAGAGAGAGAGAGAGAGAGAGGAGAGAGAGAGAGAGAGAGAGAGAGAGAGGAGAGGACCCAGTAGCGGTCAGTGAAGAGGCGGAGCCCGGAGCCTGGAACCACAAATAGGTGAGTAAACACACACACATAGAAACAACAGGCCATATGTCTTAGTGACACGTACCTTAGACAAATGGTAAATAAAACACGCACACGCACGAACACACACACACACACATACACACATACACACACACGCATACACACACACATACATAAACACACACACACACACACACACACACACACCACACCACACACACACACACCACACACACACACCACACACACACACCACACACAACACCACACACACACACCACACACACACACCACACACACACACCACACACACACACCACACACACCACACGCACACATCACACACACACACCACACACACACACACACCACACACACACACCACACATACACACCCCACACACACACACACACCACACACACCACACACACACACACACCACACACACCACACACACACACCACACACCACACACACCACACACACACACCACACACACACACCACACACACCACACACACACACCACACACCACACACACACACACCACACACACACCACACACACACACACACACCCCACACCACACACACCCACACACACCCTCCACCACTTGACACAAACACTTGACACAAACACGTACCCCCCTCCCCTAACCACCTCTCCCCCTTCCCTAACCACCTCATCTTAGCCACCTACCCCCTCCCCCAAACCACCTAAACCCTCCCCAAACCGTCTAACCCCCCAACTACCTCCCTCCCTCCAATAACCATCCTCCCCCTCCCCCATAACCATCCATCCCCTCTCTCCCTCAAACCATCTAACCCCCTCCCCCAACTATCTCTACCCCTCCAATAACCATCCTCCCCCTCCCCCACAACCATCCATCCCCTCTCCTCCTAACCATCTATTCCCCTCCCCCTAACCACCCGTCCCCCTTCTGTGGAGCAACGGGGGAACCTAGAACCAGGATGAGGACAAGGGGCTCCAAGGACGAATCTGGGAGGGAGGAATGGGAGGTAAAGCTCAAAAAAAGGGAGGAAGACTGGGGAAGGAGACTAGATGAGCTGGAAAGGAAGATGGAAGAGAGGTTAGCAGCAGAATGCAGAAGGTGGAAGCAACAGGCCACAGCAGCAGAAATCAAGATAGATTAGAAGAGGAGCTGAGACATCTGAAACAGCACAGAGACAAAGATATTACAGAAGTAGCATCGGCAGTGGCTACATCAAACACAGACAACAGGTCTGAGGAAAGCATGGAAACTAAACTGTATGCAGAGGTCCTGTCAAACCCACATGGGGCCAAAACAAAGACAGGGAGCACACTAGGACAGAATGAGAGGTTGGAAGACATTGAAGGAACTAGGACATGTGCATTGAAGGAACTAGGACATGTGCAAGGACCTTACCAGATACCTGTGGGGGCCAGGAACAGGTGAGCAGGAAGGACAAACCAAGAAGCATAGGGGCCATAACTAGGGAAGGGACTGAAGGAAGGAACACTCAACGGGAAGGAACTAAAACACATCAGAGGATGCAATGGGAGTCACAGTGGGAGGTGGAAAGGGAGAGATCCGTGTTTGTCTATGGGCTAGACGAAGCTAAAGGGGAAACTTATGATGAAAGAAAGCAGGAGGAGAAAAAAGCGATTGAAGATATCATGAAGGTGATAGGCGAGGGGGGACATGACCCAGGTGGCAAATTTTCGGAGAATTGGGTGGTTCACAAAGAAAAGGAATCGGCCTCTCAAAGTAATTTTCAAGGCAGAATCAACCCGAACCATGATCCTGCAGGAGAAAGCACGGCTGAGAGGCAAGCAGGAGTTCCGGAGTGTGTACCTCGATCGAGACAGAACACAGGACGAAAGGAAGACAATGAAAGAGTTCAGAAACGAAAGGAGAAATGGGAGGAAATGAAAAAGGAGAGCAGAATAACCCAGGATCAAATGGAAGGACAAGCGCACCCCCCAGAAACACCTGCAGAAGGACTCCAGCCACGACACCCCCAAGGCAACTGAACAATCCAAACCAACCATCACACACCGATCCCTCTGTTTCCACCCCCCGCACCAGAGTTACAGTATTAAAACAGAAGCTGAAGGTTTGGTACACAAATGCAGATGGATTAACGAATAAACATGAGGAATGGCAAGAAAGAATCAATGAGAAGTCCCCAGACATCATAGCAGTTACAGAAACAAAACTCACGGAGACAATAACAGATGCAATCTTCCCACCAGGATACCAGATCATGAGGAAAGATAGAAGGGGCAGGGGGGGAGGTGAGGTTGCTCTGCTCGTAAAAAACAGATGGAAATTCGAGAAAATGGAAGGCATAGATGAGACGGGAGAAAGAGACTACATAGCAGGTACACTTCAGTCTGGGGAACACAAAGTGGTCATCGCAGTGATGTATAATCCACCACAGAACTGCAGGAGGCCAAGAGAGGAATATGAAGAGAGCAACAGAGCAATGGTGGACACACTTGCTGAGGTGGCAAGAAGAGCTCACTCCAGCAGAGCAAAGTTGCTGGTTATGGGGGATTTCAACTACAGGGAGATTGACTGGGAAAACCTGGAGCCACATGGGGGTCCCGAAACATGGAGAGCCAGGATGTTGGACGTGGTGCTGGAAAACCTCATGCACCAACATGTTAAGGACACTACCAGAGTGAGAGGGGAGGATGAACCAGCAAGATTGGACCTTGTGTTCACCCTGGGCAGCTCAGACATTGAGGACATCAAGTATGAGAGTCCCCTAGGAGCTAGCGACCACGTGGTTCTGTGCTTTGAATACATAATAGAGCTGCAAGTGGAGAGAATAACAGGAGTTGAACGGGAAAAGCCTGACTATAAAAGAGGGGACTACATAGGGTTGAAGAACTTCCTGCGGGAGGTCCAGTGGGACAGAGAACTGGCAGGAAAGCCAGTAAATGAAATGATGGAATATGTAACAACAAAATGCAAGGAGGCAGTGGAAAGGTTTATTCCCAAGGGCAACAGTAACAATGGGAAGACCAGAACGAGCCCCTGGTTTACCCGACGGTGTAAGGAGGCAAAAAACAAAGTGCAATAGAGAATGGAAAAAGTACAGAAGGCAGAGAACACACGAAAATAGAGAGATCAGTCGCAGAGCCAGAAATGAGTACGCACAGGTAAGGAGGGAGGCCCAGCGACAGTATGAAAATGACATAGCATCGAGAATCAAGACTGACCCGAAACTGTTGTATAGCCACATCAGGAGGAAGACAACAGTCAAAGACCAGGTGATCAGATTATGGACAGAAGGTGGAGAACTCACAAGAAATGATCAGGAGGTATGTGAGGAACTGAACAGGAGATTTAAGGAAGTTTTTACAGTAGAGACAGGAAGGGCTGTGGGAAGACAGCACAGAAGGGAACATCAAGAGGGAATATACCAACAAGTGTTGGATGACATACGAACAACTGAGGAGGAGGTGAAGAAGCTCTTAAGTGACCTTGACACCTCAAAGGCGATGGGACCGGACAACATCTCCCCGTGGGTCCTTAGAGAAGGAGCAGAGATGCTGTGCGTGCCTCTAACCACAATCTTCAACACATCCCTTGAAACTGGGCAACTACCTGAGAAATAGAAGACAGCTAATGTAGTCCCCATATTTAAGAAAGGAAACAGAAACGAGGCACTAAACTACAGACCTGTGTCTCTGACATGTATTGTGTGCAAAGTCATGGAGAAGATTATCAGGAGGAGAGTGGTCGAACCCCTGGAAAG